AGACATATTTCTCTTGCTAAATTTATTTCTTATTTCATATAGAAAACTCAGCTGAGCCAAGCAATTCCAGAAAGATACCAGTATGGGAAGCATGTGTCTATTTTGTGCCTTCAGAAGTCTCACATATGTTACGTTTTTTGCGTTTTGCTTTAAATCTGTAAGGGTTTCTGCTTTCAGATCATCTGAAGAAAATTCTAGTGTTTCTTTATTAATCCTTTGCTCAAGTGCATTGTAAACATTTAAGTGGTAAAAACATGTGGCTGGTATCAATTAACAATGGTTATATTGGCACTGCCTGCAGCAAAGCCAGTGCTCCACTCTGCAAAAGTGCAGGAAGGAATAAATCCAGAAAAATAATCTACTCACACATCCCAAACACAAGATCTGCTGCCATCCTTTTGTCATGCCTGGAGAATTTATTTGAGGGGTTGCAGCTGGTAGGTATGGCAACAAAAAGATTGTTTACTGCAATCTGTTAATTAACTTTTATTTGGGAGATTTCTAACTATTAAGAATAACCAAACTAGCTCAGGCCAGAGCTCCACTGAGCCCAGTGTTCTGTCTCTAACAATAGCTCTAAGCAGGTACCCAAGGAAGAATAAGAATTGCAATTACATATGATGCTACCCTCCCTGTTGTAGCTTTATACACTTTCTATGACTTTCTAGCAGGCTTTTGCTCCTGGTTGATGTGTAAGAAGAATGATTTAGTAGTTTAGTTCCTTTGCCTAGTTGTTCCCAAAATTCTTTTTGGCTTATCTAATTGTATTTTTTCGTTTATCAGAGTTCATGTTCCTTTCTGTTACCTTCTTTTGAATGCAGTATAGCTTTTTGCTGCAGTTCAGGCTGTCTCTGCTTCAAGTGTGGTGTCCTTCAGCTTTCTCCTAGCCACATGTAAGAGCGATTCCTTTAGCTCCCTCTCCTAATTTGTTTTTAACAAGCCTCACATGTTCCACATTGTGGAGTTTAACATAACCATAGAGGATTCTTTGGTCTTTGTTGCTCTTTGTAGAAATACTGTTTTTATAGAGTGGGGATTCCAGCCTGAGATTCTGAACCAGGTCTTGTGCATTGTTCTGTATCAAGGCAAGGACTGCACTTGAGGGCTCATTCTCTGAATAATAATTCCATCTAGATAACACCACCTAAGAATGGCATCTGCTTCATACAGCCACATGTCAATATACTGTTGTCAGTGGTCGTGTCCTGGCTGGTGATCTGACATGTAGATCCAGTCCCACGTTCTTCCCAACTGGGCTTTGAATTTCAACCCATGTAGATCATGTGCTTCTCTCTGAGGTGGCTGGTTTGCAATGTTTGGAAGCTATTTAGCCTCTCTCTTATATATAGTCTTTGGACAATTGGCATCACCCCTTTCCATTTATGCTCACTCCTAACTCCTTCAAACCCGATGTCATGAATCCAACTCAGCAAGGAGCATATATCGGGAGAAACAACCAGAAGAGGTGGTCTCCTATTGCATTATTTCCAACACGGCAGGAGCAAAACTGATCTTCTATTGAACGGATGTGTAGTAATTGATTTCAATGTATGTTCTTGGTGTTTAAACTGGGGTTTCATTCCATATGCACGCTACTCATCTCATACAGCAATTTACTGACGTATTTCTAATCTAATGCTGATACCTTGTACATGAACATAAGGAAGTCCACTGTGTTCTTCTTTAGTTGTTTGACTGAAGATTAGTGTTTTGTGGTAAGATATAAAAATCCTTGGGCTTCCTGCAATTTCTAGAATTCTTTGAACTAATGCTCTTAGAGTAAATCAAAAAAGGCCTCTGCCCTTTAAAGGTGAATGAGGGAAGGACTTCTCATTAAATTAATTGAAAGGGAGTTCTGTCTTTCAAGGACAACTACTTTTGGAAGGGGAAAGTTTGTTTATAAAACAAGTTTTGTCTTCTATTTTAAATTGCCTCAGACTCTATCATGACTTTGCAATATCGCAGCCATCTTCTTAAAAGAGCTCTTTTAGAGAAAAATCACCAACTGAGTTACTATAAAACACCACAAGGATAGTTATTACTTTATTTCTCCATAAGCTGGTCTGTCAAGGACAATGGGCAGAGGAGCATTGACTGGAAGAAGACTATGCAACTCGGTAAACCGAGTTCAAGCATTGGATTTGCCAAACAAAAACTTTCCCTTGGAACAAACTCCTTTTTTTTTTTTCCTTTCCAGTCATGCATTCCTAGTATTAGATAATTAGGTCAATATTTAGGCAACTAAATAAGTGTATCCTGGCATTTTAAAGTACCAGAAATTCCCATCCTGGACAGAGGATTCAAAAGCATTTCAGTTACTTTGCATCTGGATTTAGTTACCTGATGCTAGATATCAAGATCAAACATTTTGGGCAAAAAAACAAAGTTAAAATATGTTAAATTAACACCAAAAAAAGGACAAATGGGTACTGTTGTAAAATATTCAAACCCAACTGTGAGAATCCCCAGGAATTTCTTTACTACATATTCATCTGCTTAGTAATCGCTTCTTTTGTTGTAATAAACATTAGAGGAGGACACTTGCTGGGAAATAATGTTACAATGGAAGATTAATTAAGAAACATGAGAACCATTTGTAGTTAGTTCTGAGAAATTTTTTGGAAACACATCTTTTCTCTCCTTCCCTCTCAGTGTCTCCAATAAGTATAAGATTTTACATAAGCAGTGTCAGTTCACTCAA